ATATATATATATATATATATATATATATATATATATATATATCAGTGGCCCTTCCACTAGGAATTTAAAGGTTTTCAGAAAAATGGAAGCAGAATTTTACTAAACCTGAATAACTCAAATGTTAGAGGTTTTATACTGGAATAGACCACATTGGAAATCAACCTTTCATTACCATGAGCCATGCCTTTCATTCTTAACTTAATTATAGAGCAATAATCAGGCTTCAATTTACTCTGAAAAAATGTTGCAATCCACTTTTTATATAGAAATATTCTTAAGAGAACTTACATACTGCTATACTCTATCTAACAAACTAAAGTTTCCAGAAAAACAACAAAAATCCCAACAGCAGAATTTTATGTCATATATATGGCACAGGATGATTATAAGCCTGAGCTATGTACCAAAATGATTGCTTTCCAGGTATCACAATATTTAACATCAAAGAAATTTCAAAACAAGCAAGCAAACAAAAACTACCTGAAAAACAAAGAATGGACATAAGACATCTTTTGTACCTTTAAGGCACCTTGGGATTGGAGGCTCCCAAGTACTGTTAGCATCGCAGACCACTGTATCACTGCCGTTCATGTAAAAACCCTCCATGCACTCAAACGTCACTGTTTCTCGGTAGGAAAATTTTTTTTCAATTCCTGGTGTCATTCTTCCATTTTGTAGTACTGGAAATGGACATTTTACCACTGAAAAGAGGAAAATCACCCAGAATTTAATAAAAGTGTTGTTTATTTTTCATTTCAGTTTTCTGAAACTTTTAAAACTATAACCCAGAGTTAAAGAAGAAATATATTTTGTGTTCCAAATATGAGCACGCAGATCCCTCAAAAGTTTACAATAATACTCAACCTATGCTAGTACACAGGATATTTTCCGTTCTTCCCTATTCCTTAAGTAAAATGAATCACAATCTATTATCATAGTCTACTAGGAGAATTGTGGGAGAGGGACAAAATTTCTAGGCTAGGCACTATGGATATGTCAAACTATACTGTGAAGTGAAATCTAAGCAGCAGCGGAGACCAGATCACATTCAGCTTGGTAAGCTTAAGTGTTCTTCCTTTTCCCTGTGGACCTGAACTTATGTCTGATACCATTTCCTTTCAGACCTTCCTTACAGGCAAGTTGTGAACTGCCATGTGGGTGCTGGGAATTGAACCCGGGTCCTTTGGAAGAGTGGCCAGTGCTCTTAATTGCTGAGCCATCATTCTAGCCCCCTTTAGCAATTCTTGTAGGTTGGCTAGTAAAGTTCTCAGCTTTTGTGTATATGGCAGTGGTTCACTTATTTTTAAACCTTCTGTCTTGAAGGATTTCTTCTTGATAAAAAAAAACCTATAGGTTAATTATTTCATTTCTTTTTTAGTACCTAATAGATACCATTGTTTACCAGCCTCAATTAAGAGAAGCCAACTGTGACCTCTTTTGAGTGTTAACAGCTTTTGTGGTTGTTTCTTTGACTACTTTTAATTTTTTTCAGTAGGTGTAGCAAACTACAAAAACCTACAAAATTGCTTGCTCTGTGTGTGTGTGTGTGTATGTTATACATGTTAATTTTCTTATAACTGTAACAAAATATCTGATAAGAAACAAATTAAGAGAGGAAAGGTATATTTTGGCTCACGGTTTAAGAGGACATAGCCCATCATGGAGGGAAGGGCATAGTCACAAGCATCTCCTTGGTGGCAGGGTTGTATAACTAGGATTTCTCGAATCTTAGTGGAACAGGAAGCAGAGAACAGACAGGATGTGGGACTGGGTTATAAAACTTCAAAGCCCACTCCCAGGGACCCACTTCCTCCAATAAGTTTCCACCTTCTAAATGTTCCCCAATTTCCCAGCCAGTGTTCAAACACTGAGGCTATCTGGTCCATTGACATTCAAATCACTACATGTACCATACAACCCAACAACACACATTAAGTGAAAACATGTAAATAAAAACATGTTGAAGGATGTTCTTGCTACCTTGTTTACAATCACTCCAAACTAGAAACACATTCACCTTGTGGCATGAGAAATAAGTATCTATTGCTAATTGAAGTAATGAATTAATCCTTAACAACAAAAATAGTGAATTCCTGGTTTATGCAAAGCCGCAAATTGTTTCCATATGCCATGTGCTCAGTCAAATAGCCACTCTGAAAGGTGGGTGGTCCACTTCCATGCTCGGAATAGAAAACAGACTAGTGGTTGGCTGGCTGTGGAACTAGGAAAGGAAGGGTGGATTACAAGCAGACCTGGAGACATTTAGTGCTGGAACTTCTCTGTTTGGACTGTGGTAGTTAAGTGTGCTTCTTAATATGTTTGTCAGATCTCCATAGTACTTGAAAGGATGCGTTTTACTATATTCACATTATAGCCAATATCCCTAACTTTAAATAGATACTTCATATAACTAAATATAATAAAAGAAAAGATTAGTTAATCTGAAGACAGGTCAATGGAAATCCAACCTTATTTTAAGAAGAAATTCTTAAAAGAAAATAGGCTTATAAGCTTATGAGGAACATTAACAGTCAAATATAAATGTATATACTAGTGTATATATTTATTTAAGTGTATGTGTATAAGAAATTCCCAAACGTATTCCACAAAATGCTTGCTCTGTTTTGTGTTGTTCTTACCAGCAATTTGTTAGTTCCAACTACTCCACATCCTTGCCAGTACCTGGTACTGGTGTGTGTGTGTGTGTGTGTGTGTGTGTGTGTGTGTGTGTGTGTAGTATCTCAAGTTGTATTCAGAAACAGTTTTACTCTTTGTTTTTCCTTCTCATAGTTTATTGTTCTGGTCAGGAGCTCCAGCACAGCACTGAACAAAGTGATAAGAGTAGATTTTATTTTATCTAGATCCTTAATTAGAAAGAAATGAGTCTTTTACCACAATGTTGACTATAGAACTTTTGTAAGATATTGTTATCAGGTGAAAGGATAATTATATTCTCCTAGCTTGCTGAGTCTTATCACAAAAAGATGATGAGTTCTATCAAATACTCTCAGTTACTTTTTGCAGTTGTTACTTTTTTTTCATCTAATAAGATGACTATATATATAGGGTTAGAGTATATATATACTTCTTGATAGTGAATTACATTAATTTTTGCAAAGAAGCAGATTTGTAACCATGAGTTACAAGGGTGAGTCCTGTCATCATGAAAAAACTTTTCTTTTTAATGTACCACAGGATTTGCTCTCATATTTTGTTGGGCATTTTTATTTTTATATTCTTTAAGGATATTGTTGCTAATTTTATCATTTTATTTATAACTTTTGGTCTCAGGACAATGCTGTTAACTACAAATAATATTTCTCTAAAAGATAAGGACTATTGAGGTGAAGTCAGTATCTTGTGTCTTTGAGAAATGTTAGTTTCATTTAAATTGTCAAACTGATGGCCATGAAACTATGTGTAATATTCCCTTATCATCCTTTAAATGTCTGAAAGATCTTTAGTGATGTCCTCCTCCTCATTATTTACAGTTTTTTTATTTGTTTTGTTTTATTTTCTAGACATGGTTTCTCTGTGTATCCTTGGCTGTCCTGGAATTCACTCGGTTGACCAGGCTGGCTTTGAACTCACAGAGATCTGCCTGCCTCTGCCAGTGCTGGGATTAAAGGTGTGTGCCACCACTGCCTGTTCCTTCTCATTCTTAATGTTGGTTCCTCCCCACCTCCCCCTGCCCCATACATCTGGCTATAGTTTTATCAGCTTTATCCATCTTCTCCAAAACACAGCTGTTGGTTTCAATTATTTTTCTTATTCCTCCCTCTCATTTCAGTTTCATTGATGTCTGCTGTATTTCAGATGTCTGCTGTACTTTCTTGCAACTTGCTATTCAGGTTTAATTTGCTCTTTAGATTACTACAGTGGAAGGCTAAGGCTAGGTCCCTCAGTCCCTGATTTACAATTTTTATTTTTCTAAAGCAAACATTTTGTGCTAGGAAATAATACTTCAGATGAACCCTGGCAAATCCTGACCATCTGAGAAGTTGTTTTCATTTTTATGTATTTCACATACTTTCCAATTTTCTTGCTGACTTCTTTACCAATAATTATTTAATTATTATTAGATGTATCTTGCATAATTTTCAAATTTTGTGGATTTCTACTTTCTTGAGATTAGGTAATGTACTTTAAATTACTATTATTTTATATTTGTTTAAAAATTGTATTAGTCACCAGTCATGGTGACATACACCTTTAATTCCAGCACTGATGAAGCAGAACCTAGAAGAAGGCTAGCCAGGTTTACATAGTGAGACCTTATGTCAAAATAACAAAAAGCAAAAGACAGCAAAACAAAACAAAAATGTCTGTATTGTTTTCTATTTTGCAGATGTTCCATGTACACTTGGAAAGATAAACATTTGCTATGATGCAGTGGTATTTCTCTTTCAGGAGAAAAATCTTTTCAGTGTCTCCATGTTTTTGGTAACTAGTGTCTTAAACATGTTAAGTTTAAAAAAAATACAAAAACCAAACATTTTTGCCAGATTTTACTATTCTTTCAATGAGAGGGCTGCTAATTGTAATCTATTCTGGCATTACCTATAGCTAGATTGTTCTGTCTTCCTGTAACACAAGATAACACTTTCTTATTTTCCAGCCAGTATATGTTAAGAGTTTTGGTTCTTTCAAACAAAAATATTATACTTCATAGCTATAGGTAGTAGCTCACACTCTAGAAAATGAGAAGGAAACTCCATAACTAGAATTTTTTATTTAACTTAACATTTATGAAATTAAATTAGAAAACTGTTTTATAAGAAGTTGAAGGACATATAGTCACTATGTTTATTTTTAAGTAAAACTATTTACAAATGAAGGAAAGATGATTACCTTTACATTCTGGAGGCTTGCTACTCCAGGTGTTATGGCCAGAACAGAAGAGCATACTCATTCCAATAAGGGAAAACTTATCTGGTCCCGGCTTAGGATCACAACTGTAAATTACTGCTTCACGGTATTTGAATACTTCTATATCAGTAAAGGTGTGTGTTCCATTTTTTATTTTTGGAGGTGGTAAACAATAAACTTCTTTATAAAATGGGAAAAAAGGGAAATAAGTTAAAAGCAAGGTAGTGTATCTACTCAAGACAGTGTTAGGAAGCTCTCTAAATCATTGTCAACAAATTCATCAATACAAGATTTCTATAAGTTATTTACAACCCCAATTTTCATCTAGAAAAGGGTTTCTATGAGAAAATTCATCACCTCATATTTAAACCACTAATACAGAAATGACCTTTCAGGACAACATTCATTTTTCTAAAGGAAAGAATGACTGTTTCATGAGGTCATGCTAAGTTTTGTCCTAGTCAATAGAAAAGATGCTGACCATCTGGTGAAAAACTGCTTGTCATGAACAAAATCAAGCTGAATACTGATTGAGAAATGTGCTTTAAGGTACAGGTACATTCATTCAATAGGATGGTGACTTAGACTCATATTAACATGCTGTCATTTATCATTTTCATCCTCACAGTACAATGTTTTTGCAGAAGTGACAAACTTTGATAATTGAACAAACTAACACCCAATATCTTCCTCCAAGCCAAATATTAAAAAGATTTGCAAAAACATAAAGCAATGTCCCTATTCTTACTTTCAAAATTTCAATAAAAACATGTGAGATATATTAATATGTATTGAGTTTATTGCCCTTAAAATATATCCATTATAATTCCAACATGATCAATATCAATAGATATAACTGTAAAGAAAAATTTGGGGGGTACTTATTAATCTAAAATCATAATAGGGTTCTGAGGCCAAAATAGTTGAGACCTGATAGTCTAAATTTTAAAAAAAGAGAATTTACTTACTTTCACAATGTGGGGGAGGACCATTCCAATATGCATGATCACCTTTAAGCACACAGTGTAGAATTGACATACCAACTACGTAATAACTAAATGAGCAAAGAAAAGTTACTGTTTTCTTTGGCAGTTTATGGTAAGATATACACAATAATGAAGGACAGTTTTTTAGATAGTTTTTTTCTGTACTATAGTAGTTGAAGGATAGGTTTCTTAAATAAGTTAAGAAACTGCTAAACAAATCTAACTAAACTTTAGTCAGATGAAGAATTTCTGTCTGTGAACACACACTGTCCAAGAGCTGTGATGTCTAGACACATCTGATGTGACCCGGCATCTTTGCTATCTCCTACAATCATATTACTTTGCTTCTATGTCTTTAATCATCCATTCTGCTCTGGGAGAATGGAGCAGAGGAGAAAAGCTTCCTTAGGAAAGGACTGCCTGGGCTCTAGTCCCATTTCTATGACTGACTCAAACTTGGGCAAACCATTTAAAGTTTCTCTTGTTCCTCAATTAAAAACATGCAAATAACTAAGAGTGGTGGCACACGTTAGTCCCAGAACCCAGGAGGTCGAGGCATGTGTAGTTCTGTGAGTTAAAGGCAAATTTGGTCTACACAGCAGGCTCCAGGCCAGCCAGGGTTACATAGTGAGATCCTGTCACAAACAAACAAACAAAATAAATATAAATCAAACATCTCGTAGGATTGTTCAAGAGAATTAGATAAATTTGAGTCTGGAGCACAGCAAGTAGAAATAATGTGTTATATTGTACTAACATATCTTGTACTATCATATTATGATCATAATGTCTTTCTAGGAACTTGTCAGAATTAATCCTGTCAAGTCTCCCGATTATTTACATTCATAGATTATTATTCTGGACTCTCATGTGATCACATGATGTATTCTTATCTGGAATCCTTTGCTATTTTGTTCTGATAACTTCTGTATCTACTGGGTTTCTCAACAGGCTTAGTCTTTGAAAAAGATTTATGACCTAAACTTTGGTTCCTTCAAAGTACCTAGAAAATTTCCTCCACATAGCTTTACCTGAATGTGCTCTTACTTGACAAAGTTAAAAAATTATTGCCAGGCATGGTGGTGCATGCCTTTAATCCCAGCAGGCGGATCTCTGTGAGTTTGAGGCCAGCCTCGTCTACAAAGCATGTTCCAGGACAGCCAGGACTGTTACACAGGGAAACCTTGTCTCAAAATACAAAAAGTAAAACAAAAAAATCATCAATGAAACTCAGCCAACTTTCCCCAAGAGTCACAGTTACTTCTAAAAGAGCTCTAGAGAATAACAACTTACTCAGTGGCTAATGCCCCCTTTGGAGACACTTTAGGTTACATAGCAGTCTGAAAAATAAGGTTTTCCAACTGAAATATTCTGTGGTAAAGATGAGTTATATTACATTTTGACTTGTTAACACCTTCCAGAATTCTCCTTTGGTTAGTTGTTCTACCTCGATTTCATGAGAGCACCAATTTAACCTTGAGTTGGCAGTAGGTCCACTTGACTGTCAATGATAAAGTCACCATGATTATCTATCCCTTTTGGATATGTAGCCCAGACTGCCCTCAAACTTATGGAGATCCACCTGCCACATCTTCCTGAGTACTGAAATTACAAGATAACCACCACCCTTGGCAGATTACTCCATTCTTAATGTTTAATCATAGACATTATAGATACAGCAAGTATGATACAGATTTGTTTTCCTTCCATTTCTTTATTTATTAAGCATCTCTCTTACCTCCATAAAGTACCCAAATGTTGTTTGGCTAGGAGCACACCTTGTCATATAGTGAGCAAAATTAAAGCCAATTTACTTGAATGCTTAAAAAGAGAAGTAGAACAATGGAATCAGGAACATTTACCTTATTTCCCATAAGGAGCAACTTACCCATCCATACATGTAAATTGAGCTCGACCACCCCATGAAATTCTGCCATCTAGGAGGTGTACTTTGCCAAATTCAGGTTCTGCTAATGTAGGACATTCTATTTCTAGAAGAATATAATAATAAAAAATTTAATTCAACTTCAAAGCCAGTTGCACTTGAACTAAAGTAAAAAAAGTCATACTTGGTTCTTTTGAGTTTATGGATTATTTTTCTCTAATAGTTATGAGTGTGGTGATATGAATAAGATGTCCTCCATAAGGGCATTTGAATAATGGGTCCCCAGTTGATGGCTGTTTGAGGGAGATTAGGAAGTAGAGCCTTGCTGGAGAAAGGATGTCACTAGGGCGTGCTTGGAGGTTTCAAAAGACTTGTGCCATTCCCAGTATACTCTCTGGTCCTACTCGCCATTCTGAGACATAAGCTCTCAGCTGTTCCTGCCACCATGCTTTTGATCTACCATCATGGACTCTAACCCCTGAGACCACAAGCCCAAATGAACCCTTTCTTTTATAAGTTGTCCTGGTCATATGCTTTACCATAATATCAGAAAAGTAACTAAAACAAAAGACAAGCACAGATTGACAATTACAAAATCAACTAAATTTCCAAGAAAAAAAAATCCCCATAAATTTCTCAAAGCCTGGAAAAAACCCTCACATTTAAATAAAAGCTTTGTTTCACATAGGAAAAGCATCGCTGCAATAAGGGCATATGCACCCCATCCTAAAAATCAAGCAAAAAAAAAAATGAGTTTACTTACTAGCACAACCATGATCTGAAATAGGGAACCATGTATGATTTGGTTCACAGGTAGCAACCATGATGAATGGATACAGAAATATGTATCCTCTTTTACACTTATATTCTATTGTCTCTCCAACCTCATAATAGGGTTTAGTTTCTTCCTTGGGTTCCATAGCTTCAAATGGTGGTGGTAGTTCACAGGCATCTAGGGATAAGAGGGCAAGAACATGAAGATGAAGTGTGAATATCACTTTTATCAACTAAGAAATGTTATTTTGTGGCAGGAAGTACAGAAAAAAGAAACGTTTTTATCAAGATTCTAAACTATTAGTACATGCCTTTCTTTACTCAAGCAGTGGCGGTAGTGCAATAATATCCCTAACGAGTTTAAAATAACATCAGCTTTTGGGTCATTTCAGAATGAACTGAACTTTTATTCAAAAGTAAAGCAAGGAGACATGGTTAATGGTTTTGGTTTTTTTAAGAAGAAAGATACGAGACCATCCTGTTTTTAAGGTCTATGTCTCATTCCTTATCACTTCTCTAGTACCCAGTACCGAAGTTGAATGAGTCCTGTGATTAATTCTTTACTCTCTTTAAATTCAAATTCATATTCTTTATTAGTCAGATAATTTGCTTTGATGATATATGAAAATCATGTTTTATTTGCTGTTTTTCAGCCAGTCTTAAAAACAATTTTTTATTGGTTTAGCTATAAATATTTCCCTGTGTTAGTGCTTCTTTCATATTACACTTTACTGGTTTATTATGAACTCATTCTGCATTACTGCTATAATTAGAAAGTGAATTCCAAATACTGTGGGTTGTATTTTCCTGAAAGTACAGTAATAACAGATATCAGAACCTATAACAATAGTGATGAGGATTTTTATAAAATTAGAAATCCAACACTCAGCACTCTTCATACTCATTATTTAAAAGTTTCTCCCTCTGTAAGATGAGAAAACTGAAGTATCACAAGGCGGAATAACCTTTTCAAGAATGCATTCCAACTATGTAGCAGACTAAGTGCCCAGTTAGGCAGCCTGTGTCTGGGCCACACTGGGCACCACTGCCAATGCTGTGACCCTTGTCCTCATCTGGAACTCCCCAAAGCAGATTCCATCCTATCCTGTGTTTAGTCCTCAAAAAATTGCCTTTTATGGTGCTTGGAGGCATTACAGCAGCTCTAGTTTAGACTCAAGTTGTACTAAGTACATCAGGTAAAAACATCACAGCCTGAACTGTTCCAAACTAGGCCCTCGCTTCTCATGATTCTTTCGCACTCTATTATTCTCTTGTCGTTTTTTGTGTCAAACTAAGTAGTTGCTGGTCAGTTGTGTCCTACTTGGGCTGTCTTTGCTTACATTGCTCCACAGTCCAGTTCCTAGCTATGCACACTGAGCAACTCTCTCCTCTTTATAGACACCTGGAGGGAACATCTTGTGCCTCAACTATGGAAGCAGCACTCATTTCTCTTCCTTTGGGCTGTCCCCTACCAGGGTATCTCAGCTAGGTCACATGTTGGCTGTGTTCAATAGTTAAGATGAAATCTACTCATCAATGTGGCCACAATATCCAGCACCAGCTCTTCACAGTGGCATAACAGTACAATAAAACACTTGCAAGGATTATATTGTCATTTTTTTATAGTGAAAATAGTCATTTTAAAGATTTAATCATTGGAGAAAGGAGAGCCATTTTTTTTGGGTCTGTCTGCTAGTATTTTATAACTTAGCACCTGATCATATAAAGACTATTCCCCTACACTGTAGCATACAGAGTAAGGACTGACATACTAGAGTGTAAGCATTTATTGATCTTAGAAAGACCTAAAATAGGTATTAAGAGCAGACACAACAGGAAGCAGCAGCCTTGTTCAAAGAAGCAGCCGCTCTTCTGAAGGAAGGAGACCAACCTAAAAATCTGACAGATTCTTTTCTGCAGTCCTGATGACAGGCTTTCTATGCTGGACACTGTCATAAACCCTTTTCCTCACAAGTTGAGTTGTTCCAAAAATGAGACCCTATTCTATCCTTCAATTCTCCCTGCCTACCACATGAGTTTTTCTTTTATGTTGTCCAGGTTTCATATCTATCTTTAGTTTTCAGATTTTATATTGTTTTCCCTCCTCTTCATTTCTACCTCCATTTATGTTATATCCTATTTATTTATCTGTTTTTGTCTATTTCAAATAGCTTCAGAGTCTTCTTAAACATTTGGCTTGAAGTCTATTCCAAACATTATTCTTCTAAAAAACCATTGGCTTCTTATTATTGCTAGTACCTGCCCTTTCTCTTCCTTGTGAAGTGAATTTTTATAGAGATCAGTGAAAAGTAAAGCTCTTTAAACAACTTTCCTCCTGCAGGAAGGAAGAATCTTCTCTGTGCTCTGTGCCTTGGCCAAATATGATATTTAACATTCTGGTACTTGAGTTATGTAAGAGTGCCAACACTAAGGCAAAAAAAAAAAAAGCAGCCATTTGAAGTAGTAAATGTGAAAAAAGATAAGATCTATGCTTTCCAATGGGGAGTGGTAGAGAATAGAAAAGACAATTTTAAAAGTGATTGCAAGTTGAGAGGAGGATAAGCTGGGCTATGTCTACCGAGGGTAGTCAGAGGAGGTCTCCTTAAGAGGTAACACTACAGTGAAGTTTGAAGAGAAGACAGTCAAATATGTAATGTCAGGGGATGGTTCCATATACGGGAAAAACAGTAACAAGTCAGTGGTTTAAAGTGGCAAAGTTTGGATTGTTGTTTGTCCTTCCCCCAGTGATTTTTTTAAATCTAGTCAGAAAAGCATGCTCCTTTACTCCAGAGCTTGGTTCTATTCTTCTTCCTCTTCCTCTTCCTCTTCCTCTTCCTCTTCTTCTTCTTCTTCTTTTTGGTTTTTTCGAGACAGGGTTTCTCTGTGAAGCTTTGTGCCTTTCCTGGATCTCGCTCTGTAGACCAAGCTGGCCTTGAACTCACAAAGATCTGCCTGGCTCTGCCTCCAGAGTGCTGGGATTAAAGGCATGCACCACCACCGCCCGGCAGTTCTATTCTTTAGTGTGAAGCTTTGGTTAATATTCACCACTCCTAATAAATATAAGCAAATATTTATAGATCATCTACTATGTATCTGTCACTAGGGATCTATCAGCATAATGAAGTGCCTGCTTATATTCATACACATATATGTGTGTGAACAGCCAGTGGAAGAGGATCACAAGAACAACACTGGTTCATGACTGCCTCCCAGAATATTCATCCTTAGACCAGCACAGAGTCTGGAACATTGAAGGCAAATGTTGCTGAATGGATGCTACTAATGAGAGATACCGAAATACATACAAACTATATGTAAAGGATTGTGTGTGTGTACCAGGATTTTTCTTTTGGGCCACTAACTAGCTCTCAAATCATGACATGGAAACTTATTTAATGTTTTGAATGCTCATCCTAGCTTAGGCTCCTTTCTGGCTATTTAAATCTATTTAACTTAAATTAACCTGTTTCTCTTCATCTACCTTTTTCCTTGGGGGCTTTTTCCTTTTCTCTCTCTCTCTCTCTCTCTCTCTCTCTCTCTCTCTCTCTCTCTCTCTCTCTCTCTATCTCCTACTTTCACTGCCTGTGTCTTCTGGCTAGTGGCTGCGTGGCATCTTGATCTAGGCATGTCTCTTGTTGACTCCTCTCCTCTTCTCCTCCTCATTCTCCTATTTATTCTCTTTCCTTGCCAGTCCTGCCTATCCCTTCTCTGCCTAGCTATTGACCATTCAGCTCTTTAGTAGACTAATCAGGTGACTTAGGCAGGCAAAGTGAAACAAATGCACCATATCTTTGCATAATTAAACACACATTCTTACATTATTAAACAAATGCAGCATAAACAAATGTAATAATACACCTTTACACAGTTACAGTAATATTCCACAGCATAAACAAATGCAACATGTCTTTACATAGTTATAATATTCCACAACAGTATGTATCAGGGACAGACACAGAGGATTAAAAAACAGGACACAGAAATATTGTTCTTTGTGTAAATTTTATACAGTAAGCAAGTATAGTACTTATTCCATGTAATGAAACACCACCAAAATGTGATGGGAGAAACCTTGAGTTTTTGTTCATGAGCTGAGGTGAAAACCAGACTGTTACTTATACTTGTCTTAGGAGTGATGTTTAGATTTTTTTTCTACTATGACTTTGTCTTTAAAGACGATAAACAATGTCTCAAAGCCATTTGGTAATACCACCAGTCACTGTCTATATTGGCTATGATAACTCCAAGTCAGGAGGAGGGGTGTGAGGAATATGATCAAATATGTTTTATGTGAAAAAAATCTAATAAAAATGTAAAGCCAAACAAAACAGCCACTTGTAAACCAAGCCCATTTTGCCTCAGGCAACAAGTAAACTTGACTCAAGAAAAAACAAGCCAGGTGTGACTTTCCCTTCCCTCTAAACCTAGAGAGTTGCTCACCCACAGCACAAGCAGTGCACTCTGCCTTCCCCAGAGGTAAACACCAGGGCTACCCTAATTCCTGAAAACAATGCAAACTGCTACTAACACAGCCAGGCTCTGGATGAACATCTACTCCTCTCTCCACTCAGGCAGCTTACCCCTTAAGTGCTGCCCACCAAGAAAGTCTGCACTTTGGGAATGGAGACTGCATGGTCTCCACATTACACATTTGCACAACTCTAGAACTCTACCAGGTCCTCCATCCCAACCTTGCCCATCGCAAACTCAGATGAGCTCCTCGCTATCCACCTGACCTACAGGCTAGGTACCAACATCCCCAAGACACGGGCTCTCTCCTGGATCCTACCAGATAAAGTAGACAGCAGGAACAGAAGGGCCTCTGCGCAAATGCCCAGGAAGCACCACCAGAAAGTGTAGGTCTTCCTCCTGCGGCGGGGAGGCTTTGCGTCCGGCGCGAGAGGCGGCGCCGTCATGTTACAAGAATGAAGGGAAAACTGAGCGCCAGGTAGTCAGAGAGCAGCTTTTGAGCTAAGTGAACAGACGCAACAATCCTGAAACTAAAGTGTGCTGGGCGACACAACAGGTGGGCGTGGCCAGGCCGCTCCCAGGAGGTTAGTGACTTAAGGTGGTGCTGGCTAGGCCAATCGGCTGGCAGTAAGGCGGGGCCTCAGTTCAAGGGGCTGGAACAATGGGGTTGAGCTCCTGCCCAGGAATATCTGGCTTGTCAACTGTCAGGTGTGCTGCTTCTGTAAAACATTTAACTCCTCCCATATGTAGCTGCACTCCTCCCAAGTCCTCTAGGGCTTTGCTGCACCCCTCGGCTTGGGTGGCACTCTTCCACAGTCAGGGTTGTGCTCCTCTACGGGCTGTCTCCTAAGTGACATTGCTCTGTTCCTCCCGCAGCTGCTCTACAGCGGCTCTAGGGTGTGCTTACCAGCTAGAGCTGACCCTGGCTCACATAAACGAGACTACTCAACTCAGGAAGGGTGAAAGACCAGTTGGCCCTGTGATCGTTGCTCGGAACTTGAGCTTGAAGAATAAAAGCACGGAGACCTAAAAACAGAGGCCTGGGAGCACAGTTGTGGGTCATGGCACAGCCAGCACCCCAGGTCCTCATTTTATCCATGCTGCTTCTGTTCGTTGTTGTATTTGGCATTAGTCATATCGCATTAGGGAAAGTACCTATATTTTCGTCGTTTGAATTATCTACGGTCTCATCTCACAATCCTCAGATCTCAAAGGTTTGCCCACTGGGTTCCCAGCCTCTAAAGTCATTCCCCCCCCCCACCCCCGACCCACGGTTGCTGTAAATTATTGTACAGAACATTTCCCTGGGGCAGCGAGCATTGCAAGCCCACTCTTGAAGTGGAGCTACCCTCTGCCTCAGCCCTGCTTTGGAATGCTTTCAGTGACTGTGTTGACAGGATCCTGACAGCTGCCTGAAGTCTAGAGTCAAACCTTTGGATGAAGGAGGTTTCAAAACAGAAGTGGTTTCTCCAATTCATGGGAAATATTTGGTTTAACTGTCAAAGAGAAGCAAACAGGGAGGAACACGAGGCATGTGCATCAGAAAAGGACTCAACTTCTTGTAAGGTTTTTGATGTGTGGCAGGACAGTGGAGTGGAGGGGCATTTATTAAGTGGTGGAGAAATCAGCTGTTGGGTGCTTTTTGTGTGTGTCCCTCAGAAATGATCATGTTTACATTATGTTTTTCAGAGAGTGGGGTAACACCTACAGGCCAGCTGACCTTTCTGCACAGTGGAGCAGGATCTAACTTACTCTCTGAAAGTTTAGAAAAAACCAAGTAGAGAAACAAGGACTGTTCTTAGAAGGATACGTATTTTGTCCATTTTTGGCTTTGCATCTGTTTCTGTGCCTCTGTGTGTGTAGTGTGTTGTGTATGTACTTGTTAGTATGAGTGCATGCACCTGTGCATATAGGTATGTGTATGTGCATGAGTGTGCATGTGGTTGTGGGAGGCCAGGGATCAACATCTGGTGTCTTTCTCAGTCACTCTGTCTTAGCTAGGGTATCATTGCTGTCAAGACACACCATGACCACAGTAACTCTTATAAAGGAAAACATTTAATTGGGGCTGGCTTACAGTTCAGAGGTTGCTTATTATTGTCACGGTGCAACATGGTAGCACACAGGTGCTAGAGAAGGAGCTGAGAGTTCTATGTCTGGATCCACAGGCAGCAGGAAGAGACTGTGAGCCAGTAGGCCTGGCTTGAGCTTCTGAGACCTCAAAGTCTAATGACTCACTTCCTCCAACAAGGTCATTCCTCCTAATAGTGCCACTCCCTATTGATCTGTGGGGGCCATTTTTATTCAAAACACCACATTCCCCATCTTATTTTGTGAGGCAGAGTCACTGAATCTCAAGCTCATGGAGCCAGCAAGCTCTAGGAATCTTCCTGTCTCTGTCTCTCCAGCTCTTGGCCTTAGAGCACTCTGGGGTGTAGCAGGAATCTTAGAAGGTCTTATTAATAAAATCAAACCTGAGGCCAGTTATTGGGGTGAACACTGGAAGGTCAGAGACACAGAACAAGCCACAGCTAACCTCACCTGGCTAACTTCTCAGCTGATCTTGTTTCCTCAGACTGGAAGCCTCTGTGTCCTCATTTCTGAATGGCTCTCAACTGAACTGTGCTGCTCAAAACCTAAAAGCTTAACCAGCCAAATGCTTAACCAGCCAAATGCTTCTAGTTTCTTGTTCTTATGCCTTATATACCTTTCTGCTTTCTACCACCACTCCCTGGGATTAAAGGCTTGCTTTCTGGGATTAAAGGCATGAATCACCATGGTTGGCTGTATCCTTGAACAGATGGATTTCTGCCTCTGGAATGCTAGGATTAAAGGCATGTGCTACCACTGCCTATCCTCTATGTTTAATATTGTGGCTGTTATATTCTCTGACCCCAGATAAGTTTATTAGGGTACATAATATTTTGGGGGAATACAATACCACCACATTTCCCCCTTTTTTTGTCTAAAATTTAAAAAAGCATATAACTAATACAAGAAAAATTATCCAATAAGTATATACTATACAGTCAAAAATTACATAACAATGTCTAGTCCACTAACATTTGACAGATTCAGAGAAAATAATTCCATTATATATCCTATTTTGGTAAGTCCAAAATGTACCTAATTCACTTTCTATCCTAACTAATCTTCAACTCTAACTAAGTAACCTTCAACTCTAACTAACTAATCTTCAACTCCCTCAGAGACCCAAGAAAGAAATAATATTACCTAATAAATGTAGCTGGAGAGTTTTTCTCGCCAAGTCCCGGCAGTCGGATAGCCCACTTATAAAATAAACATACAGTCGCTTATATTATTTAAACTGTTTGGCCTAATGGCTCAGGCTTCTAGCTATCTAGTTCTTACATCTTAAATTAATCCATTTCTATAAATCTATACCTTGCCACGTGGCTCATGGCTTACTGGCATCTTCACTTGCTGCTTGTCCTGGTGGCGGCTGGCAGTGACTCCTTCTGCCTTCCTGTTCTCTCAATTCTCCTCTCTGTTAGTCCAGCCTATACTTCCTGCCTGGCCACTGGCCAATCAGTGTTTTATTTATTGACCAATCAGAGCAACACATTTGACATGCAGACCATCCCACAGCACTGGGGCTTTTATGTGGATTCTAGGGATCTGAACTCAAGTCCTCATGCTTCCACAGTGGCACTTAAAAAGTCAATATATTTTATTACAAACATCCGAGAGTTCTCTAATAGATAATATCCTTTTGTCAACAAGTTGTCTTTTTGTGTGGTGGTGGTGGTGAGGATGGGTAGGTGGGAGGGGGTCAGTGGCCTTTGCATAGGCTACTTTTCCTTCCCTTATCTTTCATATCTAGCTCTTCCTATGGGGATTGTCTTAGACAAAATACCATGACCAAAAAATAAATTGGGAAGAGGTTTATTTGGCTTACACTTGCACATCACAGTTCAGCATCAAAAGAAGTCAGAACAGGAGCTCAAGCAGAGCAGGAACCTAGAGGCAGGAACTGATGCAGAGGCCATAGAGGAAAACATCTTACTGGCTTGCTTCTCATGACTTGCTCAGCCTTTCTTTTCTTTTCTTTTTTCTCCTTTTTTTCTTTTCGAGACAGGGTTTTTCTGTGTAGCTTTGTGCCTTTACTGGAGCTCACTCTGTAGCCCAGGCTGGCCTTGAACTCAGAGATCCGCCTGGCTCTGCCTCCGGAGTGCTGGGATTAAAGACATGCGCCACCACCTCCCGGCTCAGCCTGCTTTCTTTCAGAACTCATGACCACCTGTTGGAGGTAGTCCCAAACACAATGGGTTGCATTCCCACATCAATCACTAATTAATAACCTACCGGCCTACATACAGCCTAATCTTATTGAGGCATTTTCTCAATCGAGGCTTCCTCCTCTCCAGTGACTCTATCTTGTGTTAAGTTGACATAAACTAGCCAGCACAATGTCAAACCAATTATTGTATAACACATCCTCAAAGCATCTATTAAAACAGAAACTAGCAATAATTATAATGCAAACCTTTTGTTCACTATCCAGGAGTCTGACATTCTCTTGAGATCATGAGCATAGCTCAAAGTATCACACATACACACAAAGAATAACGATATGGGGCCACTTTTTGTTTTTTCTTCACATGTATATATGTGTAGTATGAACGCATATATGCATGTGTCCATGAACACATGTACACACATCCTTGTATGTATGTGTGTGTCACACACACATACCTTTGAGGCCTGAGGTTGAAATTGGGAATTTTTTTTAAAAGTTGTATTTATTTTTATTCTATGTTTATGAGTATTTTGCCTGAATATATGTCTGTACACCATGTATATGTAGATGAGACCAGATGAGGGTGTTGGAACCTCTGGAATTACATCTGGAGTTACAGATAGTTGTGAGCTGAGCCACCACATGGGTTCCAAGAACTGAACCCTAGGTTCTAGGCAAGAGTAACAAGTGCTCTTAACCATCTCTCCAGCCCCAGAAATCTTGTTCAGTTGCTCCCCAACTTTATCTTCCAAGGCAGGGAAGGTCTCTCAATCAAATTCAGAGCTCACTGTTACAGAGTTTTATGGTCTTATTAAATGGTCTTATTAATAAAATCAAACCTGAAGCCAGGTATTGGGGTGAATGCTGGGAGATCAGAGAAGCAGAACAAAAAAGCCATAGCTACCTCACCTTGCCAATTCCTCAGCTAATCCTGTTTCCTCAGACTGGATGCCTCTCAGCTGAACTGTGCTGCTCAAAAGCCTAAAAGCTTAACCAGCTACTAGTTCCTGGTTTTCACGCTTTATATACCTTTTTGCTTTCTGCCATCACTTCCTGGGATTAAAGGCTCACTTCTTGGGATTAAAGGCGTGAGTCACCATGCCTGGCTGTTTCCAGTGTGGCTTTAAACTCACAGAGGTCAAGGCAGATCTCTGCCTCTGGAATGCTAGGATTAAAGGCGTGAGTGCCACCATTTTCTGGCTTCTATATCTAGTGGCTGTTCTGTTCTCTGACCCCAGATAAGCTTATTAGGGTGCACAAAAATTTGGGGAACACAATACCACCACAGTTTAGATAGCCAGTTTGCTCAGGTGATAATATCCTCAGCCTTCTGAGGCTAGAATTACAGGAGGGATCCTGGAATCTGAACTCTGGTCCTCTTACTTGGGTGTAAGGGCTTTAACTGCTAAGCTCTCTCCCTAGCCAGGACCATTTATTTTAAAAGTGTGAACGTGTGATTATTAACTAGGTAAGTTCTTTAAAAAAGTAACATATAATTTATTAATTTCTCTGAGGTACCATGTGATGTTTATAAAGTATATGTCCATATACATTGTATAATTGTGATGGTTAAGGAATCTCCATTCCATACCAGGTGCCCTCCTAGTACCTTTTGGCCTCTGGCCTAAATTCCTGAAAGATGAGCCCCTAGCATTCTTAACCCTCTCCAGAATGGTGAAATGGCTGTGAGATAATCAACTGCTTGCTTGCACTGGCTTCTGTAAACATACTTATTGCTGTGCACAGGGGAGTGAGACAGCTCCTTTATTGCTATTTACATGGGGAAAGAGACAGATCCTCATGTAGCTGAGGGGAGTGAAACAGTTTCTCATACAGCTACAAATTCCACAGAAACAAGATAATTGTGGTCTCCACCTTTAAAAACCTTCCCTTAAACCTTTCTGAATAGCACATCTTCAATTTAGCCTTAAGGCTGCTCTGCAAGCAGCTTCAATAAAAATTTTAATTATAGTCTGGATTGAACTGAACTCTGTTGTGGTGGTATTGTGTTCCCCAAAATATTGTGTACCCTAATAAACTTATCTGGGTTCAGAGACAGAACAGCCACAATATTAAACATAGAAGTTAGGCAGTGGTAGCACACACCTTTAATCCTAGCATTCCAGAGGCAGAAATCCATCTGTTCAAGGATACAGCCAACCATGGTGACTCACACCCTTAATCCCAGAAAGCAAGCCTTTAATCCCAGGGAGTGGTGGTAGAAAGCAGAAAGGTATATAAGGCGTGAGGACCAGAAACTTGCAGCACTTGGCTGGTTAAGCTTTTAGGTTTTGAGCAGCACAGCTCAGCTGAGAGCCACTGGGATGAGGACACAGAGGTTTCCAGTCTGAGGAAACAAGACCAGCTGAGAAGTTGGCCAGGTGAGGTTAGCTGTGGTTTGTTCTGTCTCTCAGATCTTCCAGCTTTTCACCCCAATAACTGGCCTCCAGGTTTGATTTTATTAATAAGACTCTTTAAGATTCCCGCTACACTCTGTAACATAATATCTGTAGACGAATTTCTAAACGGTCTTATGAAATAAAAAAAAAAAAAAAAAAAAAAAAAAAA